AAAAAAAGAAATATAAAGGGGCAGAAAAAAGTGAAAGTAACAAAAGAAATGTTAGCAAAAGAAGTTGAAATTAAGAAAAGAATAGCAGAAAAGAAAAAAACACTGATATTTAAAAGCAAAAAACATAAAAACACAAATAATGATACTGATACCAAGCTGTAATTCTTAGAAACTGAGCTCTGTCCTCCACAACTAAACACACAGACTTAAACATTAATGTCCATGTATGTTAAAAACTCAACATTCCTTATCAATCTTACAGTTTTTGGTGAGTGCTGACTACTTTTTCCCAGTGAAGGAAGACCTTTTTGAGGGGCTAACTCTTTTTCCTGCCCAAACTTTCCTGCCCAAACAAACAGATCACAAATAATGCTATTTTCAAACGTTCGCTAAAATGGCTATAACTTAAACATTTTTTATCATAAGAGGATTTTACATAAAAGCACAGCCACAGAAGGTGTTGGGTAATGTGTATTCATTTAAAGAAAGCCTTTAATTGTAATTGATTACATAATCATACATGTGACTTTGGGTGGTTCATTTTTCTCCACAGATAAACACTGAGGGTGTTTCGGAGACATGATGGTGGCTGACAGTTGTTTTCTTATTATCTTGATCTAAGTGTGATCTGCTGCCCGGTGTGCAGACAGGAGTGTATGATGGTGGATGTGATGGATAATGTTTTCCTGCTGGAGTCTGCAGAAACTCCCAGCAGCACTAATGAGAGGACAGCTCAGGTTGGTGACAAGGTGCTTCACCATGTGGGGGCAGTCTTGTTTCTCATTTTAGGATCAACATCTTCAATAGGCTCGAGTATTTCAGCATTTTACCCTTAAGATTAACTGTAATTCAGTGTGTTTGATAAAACGTGATGTAAAAACACTGTGTAATATTTGTTATGATCAGGGCCAGTCACTGATTTACATCTACATACCAAATTAAATAGTTTTGATATTATTTCTTATCTTTAAGTTGTCCAGTGAACATATAAAATATATTAACAATATAATTCATTTCCTGCCAACATCTGCTGACATCATGAGGAACACCTGTTTATGTTAAGCAGCAGCTGTGGACTGAAGCAGTTGGGGGGGGGGGGGTCCAGACGTATATTCCACCAGAAAATTCAGTAAAATATCTACTCAAAACTCTGCATTTTCCAGCCAATTGAACAAAACAATTGACTAAATTCTTGAGGTTATTGAAACAACATAAAATCAGTATTTTATGAAGGTAAAACCAGACTTTAACCTGAACTTTATCTGAGATCAGAACTGAAACTTACTTCCTTTACATCGTGCACCAGTAGTCTTGACTGCATCCTGTGAAACTTTTATCATGAAACATCCTCTGCACCATATAACACCAATACAGACACAAAGCAGCTGAGAAACCCACAGAACAACTTAACTTCATAACCAGTGATTATTCTACAGACTCAATTAATTATACTCTAATAAATAACATATTTTAAATCAAATATTATAATTTCATTGCCCATTTGTGGCACCTCCAAGGCTGACAGTGCCCTAGACTTTGCCAATATTGCCTCTGCCATGGGCCAGCCCTGGTTATGATACTGTACATCTTAGCCTGCTGCTGGTCTTTTTTTTTTACCTGTAATTCTGTATGACCTGTGACGACAACTCTGAAGCAGCTACATTGTGTGTTGACTGTGTGGAGTACCTGTGTGCAAAATGTATTGAGGCCCACCAAAGGGTCAAATTTACCAAAAACCACACCATTAAACAAAACAAAGATATGTCACAAGGTATTTATCTTACTTTTTTACTTTTATGTTTTCATGCTGTATTTCTACATCCTGAATTCTAAAAAAGTTGTGACTTTGTGTAAAATGTCAGTAAGAGTTGCAAAGATTTGCATATTTCATAAACCTTTATTTTAATTACATTGGGCCCTAAAAAACACATCTAATGTTTAAACTAAAAAAAAGAAGTCATACTCTTTTTAAAACACAGTCATTTTGAGTTTCACAGCAGCAACGCAAAAAGACGATTTTAAAAAGCTGTAAAATTAAGTGGTTCAAAAAATAAGGAGCTGAGGAACTAATTAGATTAACTGACAAAAGGTATGGGGTGCCGTTTGTAAAGTTACACAGTCAAAAATCACCCCCAACATTTTTGTTTTATTTAGCCTTTTATAAGAAAAAAAGAACAGATTTAATTTT